ATAATGTTATGCAATCTTTTCAGTAATTTTGTGCATGAAACAAAGTTTACATGGTGTAGAATTAGATTTTGTGTTCTCATGTTATGGATAATCATCCTGTACTCTATTTATCATAGGGAAGTCCTCTGGTTCATATCCCTGGAATTAATATAAAGATGGATGAGGCACAAGTACTCTGCAGATATTTGTGGAATAATGAATGCACAAAAACAAAACCCTTTCATTTCCCCAACTTTAGAAAATAAGTGAAAAATTATTATAACATAAAACTCTTTAATAGTTCTTTGGTTCTGATGTTAATTTTTGTAAAAATTAAAAACTAGAAGAGTCCTGGGTTTACTGAGGAAAAGCCAGAAATTAAAAACTTCTTTGTTGTTGCTCAAATTCCCTGCTATTGATAATTATGACTTTTTTTTGTCCCTTCTTGTCTACAAATCACATGTTGGCCATAGCAGGAATTCACTTTGCTTTTCCTTCTACTGACCACAGCTCTGCCAGCAGGATAAATATTGGTTTCACCATGACTGTAAGAATTTGCAAAGAACATTCTCCCTTGGAAAATTCACAAGTCAAAATAAGACATCCTTTTTAGTACAGAAAATAAAAAATAAAACCAGTTAAACCTCACTTTAGTCTGTTAACAGTTTTCTATGTGGCCAAAAAAACTTCTGTAAGTAGAAAAGATTTAATCCAAGGAGGAAAGAGTCATAATAACCAGGGAAATGGTTGGTAGAACTTTGACTCTTTTCATAAGCAGAATGGGGGAAAAAAAGGAAAAAAGGAGAGACCTGGAAAAATGAAGCAAAGTGTTATAAGATGAACATAGTGACCTAGTGGCCTACGTTTGAGGCTAGTGGACCAATTAGAGACATCATTTAACCTACCAAGCCAAGGGCCTCTCTTCTACAACCAGAAAAATAGATTCAAGGCTGCTAGGTGACCTGCCACACATCTCCAAAAAAGCAGATCTGGGTTATGAATCTAGGTACATATAATTCTAACATCTTCTTTGTTCCACTCCGATGTCTTGGTTCAATTCAGACATGATCTCATAGGCATGCTGAGCATGCTTTCATGATCATATAGGAGAAAATCCAATTTCATGTTCTTCAGGTGAATCACTACCTTTCCAGATAAGCCTATGGTCAGTCTTTTGTTCATGGACACCTAGTATGTCATACAAAATTTGGTGTAGTATTTTTCCCAAGCTAAGTAATTACTTGCTTATGTTTCTTTATCCTCAACAAGTCTATAAATTCATAGATTTGTGGCAACCTGTTTTGTTTATCTTCTTAGCCCGAGCATCATTTGGTAGAAGTTCAACAAAACTTCGATATACAAATGAGCTAATTGTTAACTACATGGTTTAAAATTATATGAATTTGGACAGTAGCATTTTGTTGGACAAATCAATTTCCATAAATACAATTATAGCACAAACAGCCTACAATAAATATTAAAGAGAATGTTGGCCTTATCGACCATCACTATGAAGCTTCTATTTTAATTCATTAGTACCTATGGCTTAGCAGGAAAAGATAGATAATAATACTACATCAGGTGTTTGCTATCAATCTTAAATACCTGATGGAATAGACCTATTGGGAGGTCTATTTGGGAGGAAAGAAACAAGTGTGAGTGTGTGTGTGTGTGTGTGTGTGTGTGTGTGCTTGCGCGCGTGCGCGCCCATGTGTGTATAGCCATGTGAGATGCTAAAAGTATACAATGGCAAAAAGGCAGCCTATATGACACATAAGGGCTGGAGAGTAAGGAACATTATTGATAAACAGAAATGTCTTCAGGAAGAAGTGAAAGCAAATGTTGAACAAAGGGTAAAATTTGGATGCACAAAGGAGGAGAAAGCAGAGGGGACATCGAACAGATAAAGAGGTGGTGCAAGACGTGTGTAGGGAAAAACAGTAGGTCAGTCTGGGGAAATAGTGGATTCATACTCCAGGTAATAGTTGGAATTGGGTTAGCAGGTAGTGATTGTTAGGCAGAATAGAATTTCCTCCGTTGGGCATTTGGGGTTCATAAAAACTTTTTGAGCTGTGGATTATTGCTTGACAACATGTTTTAGGACTACAAATTGAGCAATGCTTTATAAAATGGAGTGTGCATTGAAATAATTTGCCAAGAATACTGATGGTAGATTGGACGTGAGGATGAATGCTATCTTGAATAGTCACGGCTCAGGTTAAAGTTGCACGCATGAAACAATCAAGGCAGAGAGAACTAAGGCAAAGGAAATAGAAATGGGGCTCACAGAATGTAAGAAAGGATAAAGGAGTGATGCGTGAGCATTTGGTGACCATAGTGAATAAAAAGCCCCCGGGTAATTGATGACTTATCTCCAAGAAAGGGGCAACTCATGGGAAAACAATAAAATAAAGTCAGTTTAGAAATTTACTCTAGTTTTTCCAGGATCATAACAATCAAGCATTCTAGCCTATTATGGTTGAACCTAAGTATCCAAGACTCACAGTGTTATATATGTTCCCAGGTAACCAGAGCATAGAGTTTTCTCCTGGTATGAGTCTTAAAGAGGTAATAAAAATTTAGAGTTTCATGTCCAATGGGGTAAAAAACACATCACAATTTTTCTCTCCCTAGAACACAAATTCAAATTACCACAATCCCCCGTTTCCTGCCTAATAGATGTTTCTTGGCTACTAGGGTTTGAAAACCACTGGGAAAGCATTTTTAGTGACCTTAATTAGTATCAGAACAAAGAAAGAGAGATGAAAAGGGCAATAAAGGACAGCAAAGGTCTCCAGGAGAAAGGCACTCTGAGAAGTGAATTTTTTCAGCTTGCACAGCATGACAGCTCTGCTGTGACCAGGGAGGGCTCTGGAAACTTTATCCAACTCCACCCACCATTCTGAGGGCATTTCTAAAGCTAGTAGAAATGTGGAATCACCTCTTGACTAAATGTATATATATATATCAGGAAAAACAGCTAACAGCTACATCAAAATTTTTCCCCTCTGGGCACTTTTCCTAGCTTCACACACTCTCTTTCCTGCTTTGCTCGAAACGACTTAAGCAGATGCAAGAGGAGTGCAGAAACCCAGGTCGACTTCTCTGAACACTTGAGCACCCAGAGGTTTTAATATAACACAAAAGACACACTCTTTTTAAGGATGACATGGTGTGGGAACCCAGGAACAAGAGGGAAGTTCATTCTTTTTAGCTTCAAACCTTCAATGAAGATGAAATGTAAACCGCCTGCATTTCATGCTCTGCCACCATGACATGTGAGTGCAGCACAGAAACGGCATGGTAGCCATACGGGGGAGAGCAGCAGATGGACACCTTCCTCCCCAATCCCCACTGCAGAACTGCAGTCACAGCTGCAGCCAAGGCACCAGACAGAGGCTGAAGGCTCCCTGCATCGTCTCTTTTTTTCTGGTTCTGACAGAAAGCAGAGTACAGATTGGTAAAGGAAGCACCTCTTAATCCCTGACTCGAATGCCGAACATTCCCCAAACTACTAAGACTACCGAGAAAGGAAAAACTTTAAAAATAGTCCCCTGGGAGATGATAGATGACAGCTCTTTCCTGTGCCTGTTGCCCTGTGCCAGCCCATGGGGATGCAGGCACTGGTATTTAAGGAAAATAGGAAGAGGAGAAGTGAACAGGGATTCCTGCAGATCTGCTGTACACTGAAGGAGGGAAGGTGAAAAGGTAAAAAATGCCTTACTTTGTCCTTCAAAGTTAATTCAGAATTCCCAAACTTCTCATGCTACTGCTAAGATATATGGGAAAGAGATGAAAAGAGAAATGTCCTTCAAGCAATTAGTCCTTGAGTCTTTTCAATCTCTGTCATTGTCAAATTCTCTATCAATGACACAGTCTGATAGTATCCATGAAATTCCCCAAACTCGATAAAATATAAGATAAAAACTTTGTATCTCATTTAATTTTCTGTGTAGATGTCAGAGAAATGTGATTCCTGAATTCCTTGCTGCTAACATATGACATGGTCATAGCCAGATCTTAACTATTTAAAGAGAAATGTTCAGAAGGTATCAGGGTCTCATTAATAAAAGTTTCCACTATATTTTGTATATTTGACTTTTCTTATTTTGCTGCCTTATCTTCTTATTGGCTCCTAGGTAAGGAAGATTAACTAAAAGGTGGTAGATCAAAGAAAAAAGAGAGAACGTCATTCAACTCAGCTCCTGACTAAATTATTGGTTCACTAAGCTTCACATTAAGATTCTAATTACTTGGTTTCTATTTAAACAGCTCATTTCAAGGCAAAAGAAAGTTTTAAAATATTTTTATATAAAAACCTTTCCTGAAAACATTTCCTTGTACTTTTGCTGCACCTTTTAACTCTCTCAAACTCAGTCAATTCTGAAATGTCTCAGTTTCTTTGATTGATCATTAGTTGTTACACTGGCCCACCCTGCTCTTGACAGCTCATTTTTGCACTGTACCAATGTCATCTTATGAGGCATTTGGAAAGGCAAGGTGATTCTTATTTCTAGCCAATGTTAATCGATACAGTTGGAAGCCCCCTGAAAAGGGGTTACCACAGATAATCTGATTATCAAAATCATCTCAGCAGAGGAGACGAGGCAAACACAGGCAGCTAGAACCAAATCTAAAGTCGTGGGGCACAGAACAGGGATTTACAAGGGACCTGTCTCAAGACGTCAGAATGGCTGCTTGATTTGGGTCTGAGAAGGGCCCAGGAGAGCTCTGGCCCCTCCTTTCAGGACAGTCAGTCCAGCTTGTTTAGTCCTCTGTCATTCAACGTGATCCTTATAGGACCACCGTTCTTTAAGCCACACCTACCCTGCCCACTCACAGACAGTAATAAACAGATCAATATGAGCCTTGAAAAATAAGTATAGGAAACACCCAAATCACTCACATACAGTTCTAAGCTCTTGCTTTCACAAATCCCATTTTATCTGAGCCTAAACGGATTTACAGCATGAGAGAATATGTTTATTTATGAAAAGAACATTAGCATATCATCTACCTACCTTTCCGAAAACTAAAACACCGTTTGATTCTTCTGTATGTGGCTTTAGGGATGAATGGAGTCGATGCTAAGGCACCTGAGGGGCGCACCCCAGAATTTCGGTCTTCAGGCATCATACAGGCCCCAAGTTCTGAGACCCGTTCAGGCTTCTTTAAAACCTGCGTCTGTGTGGAAACTCACAGCCACTCCTTCTCATGTTTGTTTGTTAGGTTTGAAGTGCTGATTCCTAGAACTCCAAGGTTTTGATCATCCAGGTCCTGGGTTAAGAATAAGTTACCAACTTGCGCTTACTCCTTTTTGGCAAAAAACAACAACAACAAACAAAACAAAACAAAAAACCCCTTCCTTTTCTTTTGCCTAATGCAAGGAGTTTTAAAGATAGTTTTTTTTTTTTTTCCAATATCTGCAGACATTCCAAAATGTCACAGGCAAATAACTGCAGCAAAGTATACCCCCATCCAAACAGCAGGGAGTGTTGTGTTTTGTTTTGTTTTATTAAGAACTATCTTCTCAGCTGGACTGAGATTCCTCTGGAAAGGTCAGCAAATAGCCCTGTGCAAGGGGAAAGAGGAACAATGACAAAAAAAGGCCCCTCAGGAATACTTCAGGACAGTCCTTGTTGGCTCCTTTCATCTGAGCACAGAGGGAGGAAAATCATGGTACCTTCTCCAAAAAGCATTTCAGTGCATGAAATATCCCTCGCACAGAACTCCCCTGTTCCTTTTATAGCACCCCTCATCCTCTGATGCTCTCTGCAGGCTGCTACCTTTTCCCTTCTGTCTTCCAGCTCCCCAGGGAATCACCATGTCAGAACAGTCCAGTGCCCATTCCAGGAGGCTCCTGGCTGTGCAGGGAGGCGGAGGCTTTGCAGGGAGCTTCTCCTCCCCCTCCTCCAGCTCTGTCTCCCCTTTTCTCAATGAGAGCTGGGCAGGCACTGGCAGGGCTGCGGCTGCCTCTGCCTCGTCACAGCTGTGGTTGCTGCTGCCTTCAGTGCCCGCTGGTCACATGTAGCAGGTGCAGTCACAACATGAGGGGAGGAGGGAGGCTGCCACACTGCAATGCAAATTGAATCGCACCCCTTTCCTCCTCTTTTGACTTTGCATTGACCTCTTGGCTGGGCTCCTGTCTTATGTAGCAGCTCTGCAGCTGGCTGGTTCAACCCTCCAGAAATCACAGAGCACCAAACTCTCCCTAGGGGTAAACCTTTCACTCCCTCTGTTCTACATTTATTTATTTTTTTCCTGCACAAGATTGACGTCTTCTCAGATATTGTATGGTTAAATCAATTTGCAAGTGTGAGTGCTAATGTAAGGTGGATATCCTTAAAACACACATATTACATACATGTCTATGTATATCAGTGTCTATAAAATAAAATTAAATCCACTAGCTGAGAGTCTGTAGGTATAACCACAAAATAAGTTAACTTATGTATGTGTACATATTAATACACAAATATAAATTTCTCTGGTTATGGTTTGAAAATCAATTCAAATTTAAACCTTCCCCCGTGTTCCTGCATACAGCCTCTCTACCCAACCCCCACATTCACCAATCCTTTCAGTCCTACTCACTGAATAATTGACTTGTTGGGTTAATCATTCATCCACCTGGCTGTTCCATAAGCAGATTTGGAATGTTAGTGCTTTAACCCCAAATGACCCCCAAGGACTCTTTTCTCCTGCCTGGGCATTCAGAGCTTCTTAAAACTGAGGGGTGCTAACAAGTAACTCTTATTAATCACATCACTGCTCTTACTTGCAACCCAGGTGGGTGAGACTGTCATTTAGCAGATCCAATAAGTGTAACTTGGTACCACTGAAGCAGATGCAGTGTTCACCTGAGAGTATCTGAACCCAAAGGAAAACTCAGGCACCTGTGCACTGGTGTGAAGAGAACACTTGTCACCACAAGATTTTGGAACTGGAATGGTAATACGATTTTTTCCAGTATTCTTATGTCACTAAACTAAATTTTGATTGGAATTACTAAACTAAAATTTGATTGGAAACTAAAGGCAAGAGAAGTAAAACCAGATTTCTAAGATCACACAGCTGGCCTGTGTCTGAGCAAGTCCACACTGCCACTGAACTAAGCCCTGCCTCCACTTCCACTGATTATGCATCATGGAAGTTATTAAGAGAATATTAAAAGAATAATTTTACTTTATAGCCAGAACTTTAACTCAATTCTTTACATACTGAGACAGAAATATACAGAAGAAAAACTAATTTTGTGAGTAGCTAAAGTAAGTCTAAACATTAAACTTTAATGAGCAATTAGTGGATTTTTACACTCTTCTGATCTTGGGCTAGGCACATCCAAGAACACTGCCTCAAAAACAATTGGAAAGAAACCCAGTTTACAAATGAACAAATAACAAACAACAACAATAATAACAACAAAAACAACAACAAAAAATACTAATCAATGTTTCCAAAGCTAAATAAATGTTTCGACATCCTAGTATTTAGATTTACTTTTGAGCAGACCCCACAGGCTTCTTAGCATTGTTAACAGGGAAATAACTGTTTATAGTGGTTTTCAGCAGATAGCACAAAGTTGAGGTATCTAGATTCAGTTATTAGGCTGAGGAATTAAGAGGAAATGTCTACTTTCCACATTTCCATTAATTCTCCTCCCACATCTGAATGCTTATTATAAATTTGTTATACTTGAAGAAAAAAAAAAGACCTATCAGAATTAATATTATCTAAATGACCATACTACCAAAAGCACTCTACAGATGTAATGCAATTCCAATCAAAATTCCAATGACATTCCTCATAGAAATAGAAAAAGCAGTCATGAAATTCATATGGAAAAATAAGAGACCCAGAATAGCTAAAGCAATCCTTAGCAAGAAGAGTAAAGCAGGTGTCATCACTATACCAGATCTTAAATTACATTACAGAGCAATAGTAACAAAAACAGCATGGTTTTGGCACCAAAATAGGTTGGTAGACCAATGGCACAGAATAGAGGACACAAAGACTAACCCACATAATTACAGTTATCTTATATCAGACAAAGGCACCAAAAACATATATTGGAGAAAACATAGCCTCTTCAACAAAGGGCGGTGGGAAAACTGGAAATACACATGCAGCAAAATGAAATTAAGTACAATTTCTCTTACCATGTCCAAAATTCAATTCAAAGTGGATCAAAGACCTAGGTTAAAACAATGACCCTGCATCTAATAGAAGAAAAAGTAGGCTCCAATCTCCATCATATCAGATTAGGCCCCTACTTCCTTAATGAGACTCCTGTAGTGCAAGAATTAAAATCAAGAATTAATAAATGGGATGGATTCAAACTAAAAATCTTCTTCTCAGCAAAAGAAATAATCAGTGATGTGAATAGAGCTTGGAAGCAAATTTTTTCCACTTGCACATCAGATACAGCACTAATCTCTAGGGTATATACAGAACTCAAAAAGCTAAGCACCAAAATAACAAATAAACCAATTAATAAATGGGCCAAGGAACGAACAGATACTCTCAGAAGATGATATATAATCAATCAACAAATACATGAAGAAATTTTCAACATCTCTAGCTATTAGAGAAATGCAAATCAAAAGTAGGATTTCATCTCAATCTAGTCAGAAACGCAGCTATTAAGAATACAAACAACATTAAGTGTTGGCAAGGATGTGGGGGAAAAGGCACACTCATACATTGCTAGTGGGACTGCAAAATGGTGCAGGCAATATGGAAAGCAGTATGGAGATTCTTTGGAAAACTTGGAATGGAACCTTCATTTGACCCAGTTATCTAACTCTTCGGTCTATACCCAAAGAACTTAAAAACCTTGTACTACAGGGACAACAGCCACATCAATGTTTATTGCAGCACAATTCACAATAGCTAAACTGTGGAATCGACCTAGATGTCCATCAGTAAATGAATGGATAGGGAAACTCTGATGTGTGTATATATATGTGTGTATACACACACACACACACACACACACACACACACACACCGAAGTAATGAGTAATGTTCCATTACATATACATATATATAAGTAATGGAACATTACTTAGCATTAAAAGAGAATAAAATCATGGCATTTGCAGGTAAATGAAGGGAGTTGGAGAATATAATGCTAAGTGAGTTAGCCAATCCCCCCCAAAACAAATGCGGAATGTTTTCTCTGATATAAGGAGGCTGATTCATACTGAGGTTGGGAGGGGGAGCATGTGAAGATTAGAGGAACTCTAGATAGGGCAAAGGGGAGGGAGGGGAATGGAGAGGGTAAGGGGTGTAAAAAAGATGGTGGAATGAGATGGACATCATTTCCCTAAGTACATGTATGAAGACACGAATGGTGTGAATATACTTTGTATATAACCAGAGAATATGAAGAAATGTGCTCCATATGTGTAATATGAATTGTAATGCATTCTGATGTAATATAAAAACATTTTAAAAAGATAAGGCCTATCATAAAATCCTGTATTTTGTGATTTTTACTACAAAGTTTTACATTTCTACAAGAGTGAAGTGCTAGGCAAGGTCCTCAGGAAATTACACTGAGATTTCATCTCACTTTGGTCAGGATGGCAATTATCAAGAATACAAATAACGATAAATGTTGACAATGATGTGAGGGAAAAGGAACACTCATAAATTGCTGGTGGGACTGCAAATTGGTACAACCACTCTAGAAATGGAGATTCCTCAGACAGCTTGGAATGGAACCACCATTTGACCCAGCTATTCCACTCCTTGGTTTAGACCCAAAGGACTTAAAATCAGCATATTACAGTGACACAGCCATATCAATGTTTATAGCAGCTCAGTCCACAATAGCCAACCTATGAAACCAACCTTGGTGCCCTTCAACATATGTTTCCTATATTTTAATCAGATGTTTATTACTGTTATGTCAGAGAATATTTTGCATGCATATGCAAACTAGACAAAGAGAAGCCTAAGCACCTCATAAAAAACTTCAATTTTTCAAAGACACAAATTATGAAACTGCCACAGTGAAATGCCAGTGCTATAAGAGAAACATTTACAATGTACCCAAGGGTGATGTGTCACCTTTTCTTCCATATGTCTTTATGGACGCCAGCAGAACAATGACCACCATAGTTTGAGAGGCGGGAAGGAGAGTGGAAGCCAAGAAATCTTTATTTAGGACAAAAAAGTCTGAGTCTCTAATTAAGACAGGGAGCAAAATATGTTCTCTTTTGAAAGGCAAGTAAGGCAATTCAGATACTTTTTAACAGTTTTGTTGAGATACGGTTCACATACCACAAAATCATTTAAAATACGCAATTCAATAGTTTATTTTAGTATTTTCACAGAATATGTGCAACCATTACCACAGTCAATTCTAGAACATTTTCACCTTTTCAACAAGTAACCAAATATATTTTGGCTATCACTCCCCTCCAACCTAGCTTTCCATCTGATCCCTAAGGAACCATGACTCTATTTTCCGTTCTATACTTTCACATGAAAGAAATCATATAATCAATGGTCATTTGTGACTGACTTCTTTAACTTAGCATAATGTTTTCAAGACTCATTCTTGTTGTAGCATGTACTTGTGATTTACTTCTTTTGTGATGAGTAATAATCCATTCTCTAAATGTGCAGTCATGCATTGTTTCACAGTGGACATATGTACTGAGAAATGTGTTGCTATGCAATTTTGTCAGGCAACCATCATAGAGTGGACTTAAACTAAGATGGCTGTGATGTCACTAAGTTGATATCCTCTTATAGGACCGCCATCGTATATGTGGCCCATCATTGACTCCAGTATCTACTTTGCGGAACATGTCTGTAACACATTTTGTTTATCCATTCTTCCATGCACGAACATGTGGATGCTTTCTCCCTTTTATTTTTTTCTATTTTCTTGATGTTGTCAATTCATGCATATTTGAAAGACTCAAATATGTGTTCATGTCTCTTACTTATTAATGACCCTACTTTTAA